CCCATTTACTCCAGATTAGAGGAGAGCACAGAAAAAAGTAAAATGCCTTTCCCACATGAAAGTACATAACACAGGTTGTGGGTCTATGGTCCTAGCTATAATCTAAACAACCTATGATATGATAGCTTAGATATAGACAAGTATATATAACATATAAAAAAGTAATTTGTCTAAAAGATTACCTGATGGCCAATTTCATAGGTCATAGGAACCTAAAAGAGGTTTATGCTTTGCTAGGTTTCCAGACACCACATTCAATATGGAGTGTTTTTGTGTGAGCAGTTTTTTCATGACAATATAAAAGCAACCTGCATCTTGATTAGTTTAACTAAATAAAGAACATTTAACAATTCAAAATTCTGTTATGCATTTACCTTATTGTAGTAGTGTCTCTCTTGTTGACTAAATCTACCAATGTTGTAAGCCTGTGCACATATTCTCATTAGTCTTCCAGCATTACAATTAACTAACGCTTGATTAATACTATCATGTACAGCATCAAATGACTGAATGGCATTGTCAAAACAACTATAACTCTTTTTCCACAGCTCCTGTTCTTCTTGACTAGGAATTTCATCATCTGAAGTGAAATGAGAAATGAAATGTTAGCGCTAGAAAGATATTTTTAAATATAACACAAAAGAAACTTCCTTCTTATAGACTGATTGTTGGTTTATGCTGCCCACTATCCATAATAACATAGCTACGAGAAAAAATTATATTTAAATATATTTCATAAAAAAAAAACATTTTAACTGGCAAGGAAACTGAGAAGACTACATGCAATTGAACCCCGCTTTGAAATATTACCAACAATGAAGTGTTGTTTTTGGTATCTCTGTGGTTGTGTCCTTACGAATATATAATATACAATATCTACAAAATGTATAAAATCATGATGTAACCACCTAACAATATCTCTGTGATTAAACAATGCTACTACAATTTATGTTTAGGTTATGTGGCAAATATTACAAGCCACCTGAGCCTGGAATTGATTTCGTTACTGAATGACATATACTATGTATTATAAAAAGAATTATGGGGAATCATGTGTCAAAATTGAGCAGATCGGAACAGAAATTAAACAACTAATTTCAAAAGTAGTTTTGACAGCGGTCCTTTTACCATCGTCCATGCAGTGTAGTATTGTAGCAAACACAGTAAAGATATAAGGAAGTAGAACAAAGGGAAAAACTAGAACATACCATTTTGATCAGCAGCAGCGAGATCTACAGCTTGTTTCATGTACAATTTACCAAGTTCATTTCTTGAATTTGCCAGTCTCCTTGTGATGTTTATAATACAGTCTGCATTCTCCTTATCATCACATAGCAACTCTACAGAAAACTCATAGCAACGGATGCTGGTTGCTAGGAAACCAGCTGCATCCATAGACCAAGATGATGCCCATTCAAAATCTACAAAAGAAATTATGAGTGTTAAATAACAACTCTAGAATAACAATTTGTTTAAGAATAGAAACCTGATGTCAATTCTATTCCTCAGTATTTATATATTTTAATACACATTATACAGTAAAGTCAGGTCACTGGTAGTATAGTGGTTGTCACATCAGACCCATGATCGGTAGACCCAGGTTCAAATCCTATCTCAGGCTGAACACCACCCTGGGTGAGTGTGCCACAGACTCAATGGGAAGGTCAATTCCACTGGCCGAGCTTCATTCACTAACGAATGCGACTTTAGGGAACCCGACTGGGTGCTCAGCGGTATAACTGAGTTTCACTGCCTTGTGGATACCTTCGGGAGAAGGGAAGACTAAAAAGTAAACCCTACAGAAATCCGGAATGGAGACCCTAAGGCAATTGGATCGACCACTAGTCACCCTTCTGGCGACTCCTGCAGCCATGGCAGCTCCAAACGTAGTGCTCTGCATTCCCTTCGACTTCGTCAGTGTGGAAGAGAGAGGAACCTTTTTGACTGGGCAGCACTAGGTTTCCATAAACACATGCCCAGGCCTGCGCCCTGAAGAGACCATGAAGACTGAGCGAGTGACTCACTGGGCCCAAACCTGTGCCTGATGCCTACTATACAGTAAAGCATCATTTGTACCTCATTTGAGATGGCCAGCTAGTGGCCATTTTTTCACTATGCCCAACATTGAACCGGTTTCCCTGGATTGAAGTTAATGTTTCAAACTTTTACTTTTAGTCACAATGACTTCATATGTCATGTCAAATTATTGACAGAGACTTTTTGAAGAGTGTGAATATACAGCTTATTATAGAAATATAGAGTATCGTACATGGATGCATATTTTTTTTTTGTGGTAATATTCTATTGGCAGACTCACTATTGTAATTAACTTCTTTCTGGACACTCTGCATGATAAACTTCTCATATTCAGGTGATTGTAGAAAATTATCCTTGTGTGAAATGAGATTATCGGAACTGCTAGCAGCCAACATAACATGTACATCACCACACAGCGAAAGAATAGATTCCAGTAAACCCTGTCCTTCCTTCTCAACAGCTGAGGTTGATAAGACACTAGAAACAGCACCTGTAATCAGTTAGAACAGTTAATTAATGCAAATGTCACTAGAGATTACCCTCACCAATTTTCACAGCAAACAATGACCAATAGTCAGATTTCAAAAACCTATATTCAGAATAGATATGTTCATATATTCTGTTAGAAGCACATATATTCTGTTAGAAGCACATGCACATTAATTAAGATAAGGCTACAGTCAAAAAAAGTTATATTTCAATAATCTATCATATAATATATGCAATTGTTGGTTTTTGTGCACTTTTATTGGAGATGTAATTTTAAGACAGCAAACATGATGCTCATAAACTTGGTACACAATGTATGAAAGTAAATGAAAGATATAGAACATTACATCTGATTAATACTGAAGGTACAATCATATACAATCGGGGTACTTGTGTTTTCCCGTTGTTTGGTACACTTCCAGGGATCAATATAATTGCCTGTCTTTAACTACCCTGTTTGTTATGTGATCAAAAAATGCTTAGAAAGTACTTCTGTGTGCTAAGGGTATATTAGGCCTTTCTAGAAAAAAATAGGGAATATTTAAAATTGTGTTTTAAAATGTCAGTATCTTTGTTTTGTGTGCAACTCACTCAGTGTCAGATTATAATTGAGCCAGTGTGTGTACCAAAAGTGAATAAAAAGTTCAGTTGACCTCAAAAACTTTTTATGGAAAATTTGAGTAAATGGCGACAAAAAGCTTAACAATTATTTTCAAATCAGAGATACACATATGAGACCAAGCATAGACACTGCTGTCTTCAGGAACTCTAATTTCAGTAGTTTTGTGCCAAAAAGGAAATATCAAATGATGCCTTAATACTCGCTGGTTCAGCAACATATATAAGCAAAATTTGGCAAAAAAAATATTAGCCAATGTGTTCTTTAATTCCTGAGTACCGGTATAAGCCCAGGGGCCTGAACATGTAAAAGCGAGAAAATTAGGGGGTGGGCTTATACTCGAGGATCACCTCAAAAAAGAAATTTTTTTGGTGGGTTTAAAATTATAACCATCTTCCCAAACACGAAAAAACATCCAAATTCATTTTTCATTCACACCACCGGTCTCGGAGAAATATTATGTCTTTTTGAGGAAAAAAATGCGAAACGAGTCGTCATTGATTTCCACAACACTTTTTACAATGAAGAAACAAACATGTTCATAAAAATACACACATTTTATTACAATATGATTTACATAACGTCTGAATTTACAGTGGAAAATGGGTAAGGTCTGTGGGAAAACAGTCGAAGTGGAATGTTTTCGATCGTACGCAAACTCTCGAAAGAAAGCAATTTCCGCCATTGTGTTTTTCCTAATGGTTTTGACCTGAGCAACTTCCTTTGACCTAACAGGTCACGTCTTTCGTTAGCCAATCAAAATTCTGTGTCGTACAGACAAAGTTTTTTGATTATTGACAAAGTAATTTTTTCAACGCAATGCGGAAATGAATTAGCGTGATGTTAAAATACGATCTGTTAACACTGATTTCTACAAAAAAATGATTTTTTTTCCCTAAAAGCTGTTGAGTAGCAATTTTTGAAAGGTAAACTAAGGGCAGAAGAAGTATTTAAACCTTTCACGGTCACCAACAAGTCGTATCTAAGATAATTTGCTCATTTACACCCCATTCACGATAGTCTCAATGGACACGATTATTCGGAAAAGTAAAACAATGTTCAATGACCAGGTTTCACGACTTGACGATCACATTTTGGCATTTCAAAAACTACTGCTCA